CTGTTTTCAATCGCAATGTCTTAAATAAAGCAAATTCATTCTCGTTTAAAATTTTTCTTTAAAATATAATATATTATAGAATTACATAAAAAAATATATTACAGTATTTAAATATATATAAAATAATATCAAAGTATAAAGTAAGGAAAGAATGCGATATATTAAAGAATCTCAAGATTTTAAAATGAATAGTAAAATTTAATTTTTGTTTAACTTATTGATATTCCATTATCTTTATAATTAAAATAAATAAATAAGAGAATCAGATTTTAATCAGCTGATTCAATTTTTTATTGAGACTTTTAAAATGCGTTTAAAAATCCTATTTTAAAACGCATACACAATGTATACTCCTTCTAACTCGCTTCTCCCTCTTTCTCGCGATCCGATATAAAAATCTTTTTCATGGCCAGATATAAATTTTAAACGACATCAATTATCTGATTCGATCATCGTAGGCGTCCAGTGCGGTATTAACCAGATAAAACGTTGCATCATTTTGACGATTAGGATTATCCGCGAAGATTTGACTTCGTGAACTCAAATACTGATAGCAGCGTATATCGTCGATATTAGTGCAAATGGGAAATTGATACTAGAGTATGATTTCGGTCGAGTAATCTCGAGAGTACGTGAGATTTCCGCATTGCGGAAAATGTAAATACAATATAAGCGCAATACAAGTGTAAATATTTTTTTTCAAGGAAGAGATATTTTGGTACCCATTTTTAGATCGATCACTATTGACATTTCTTCAATCACTGTTTATATACGTAGTAAGAGCTTTACAAGTTTACATATTTTTTCAAATTGCGGAAATTTTTAATTCTTAATATTGTTTTCCATTTTGATCAGCATATTTTTATGCATGTTTTACAAGTTAAATAAGTTCGACTTAAATATATTTAAGAAAAGATTTGCAAAGATTATAATGATTAATATATTAGTGCGCAATATAAATAAATAATTTAACGTGTTCAACGTGATAATTTGCATGTGTTTTTGTATTATCGCAAAACTTAGTCCAAATATAATACACAATAATACATTGTTTACGGATAACGATTCGCATAAGAACATATTCGTGATTATTAATTTATTACAATACGGAAACTTGTAAAAAAGGGAAAGCGAAAGCAAGGAAAAGAAACAGAAATTAAAATTTTTTTACTTTTTTTATATTTCAATGATATTTCAAAATTTATATTCTTTAATATATATTCTGAGATAAAAGAGAATGCGAGAATTTAAATATTTTTATCTGATCTTTACTATGTAATAAAGCTGCTAATAAAGCAATATTGGTTTCTTGCAAAATGATATAGGATTTTTTTTAGTTTAGTTTAGTGAGGACTACTCATGGTTTTACTTTATTGCAAGATACCAGAAATACTTTATATATTCATGTAACTGTGTAAATAAACACACGTAAGTATATAATCAACATCTATGTATTAAATTTGTAATACAGAAAAGTAATACAATATAACATGTAATATAATATAATATTAAAAATATTCATAATATGAATTATATTGTAATATAATATAATATTTTTATAAAATATTATATAATACAATATTTTTATACAATATTTTTAATATTATATTGTATAATTAATATTATATTGGTTAAATACAATTAATATTTAATTAAATAATTAAACTAAATTATTATCTTTTATATGACATTAGTGAATAATTAAGTATATACATTTATAAATATTATCACAATCATTTATGTTGTATTTATAATGCCTAAACACTCAATATCTTAGATAATCTAGTTATTCAATTATGTGAATAAAGACCGTGAATATGTGAATAAAGACATTTATTATATGTGAATAAAGACATTTATTAAATAAATTATTATCTTTTATATAACATTAGTGAATAATTAAGTATATACATTTATAAATATTATCACAATCATTTATGTTGTATTTATAATGCCTAAACACTCAGTATCTTAGAAATCTAGTTATTCAATTATGTGAATAAAGACCGAAAATATTTTATCTGTTTCTCGATCTCCGACAAGCGTGTTTCTAGCTTGTATTCAGCATTAGGAATGATTGAATTTTCCAGTTTCCTTTTTACAAATTTCCTTATCTGAAATGGATTATTTTAATAATTGTTATCAATAAATGATTTCGGATTTAATAATTGCACTGTCACAAAAAAACACAGAGTATCATTATGAACAGAATTATAGAAAAATATTATATAAAATAAAAATTTGATTTATTTAAAATTTACCTCGCCCAACTGTCCCTTAGCATACACATTGTTAATTATAACAATTAATGTTACAATATCACTGACCCTCCTATAAAGAATATTAATACAATATCATAATTAATTTGTACAATAAATCTTCACATCTATGTGTAGCATATCTTGATTAAATAATATCGTCACCTGTGTCTTATTGTTTCATAATTACTTAATAAACTTGTAAGCATGTACTTAGTATTTCTCTCAAGAACAGAAAGGAAAATGTTAGCAGTTAAGGCATAAGTTCGTTCTATCGATTCAAATGGAAGATAAGATACATTATACGAAGGTTTAAATAAAATTTCTGATATTTTTATTTCTAAATAATTGATTATAATTTCAAAATTTTTACTGTAAGCCAGACATTCTAACATTGTATCATTTGCTTCCATGCAATTAGTAAAAACTTTATTCCATGTATAATGATCTGCCGTTTTCAAACCATTACAATATGTCCACCTCTTCCAGCCAGGCAAAAGTCTACAGAAGATAGTCCAAAAAAGAAGTAAAAATCTTGTAACGAAATTGTGTTAATAGTTTCTTTAGTGTTTCATAAATAATTTTTTGATATAAGTGATAATTAATTTCCCAATCATATGGAGAATATAAAAAATGTTCTTATAAAAAGAATCGAATATTTTGAATATTATGAAAAGAATTACTTGTTTTCTTCAGGATTTGCTAGATGCCATTTCAAATGACTCTTAGATTTTTCTTCGCAAGGCTTTTCATTTATAATACATTCCCACTTTGCAAGTTCTTGTTTCAAACATTTAGTATAATCGTTGACGTTATTTTCGTCATCTAAATTCTCGTATTTAGATGTAATATTCTGCATAAAATCAAACTTTAGCACGCCCTAAAAATTGATAAATATTATTATATTTAAGTTTATTCATATTTAGTTTATTCATTATTCACAAGAACACATATAATGTACGCGCAAATAAACATTTTTCCTAGATAATTTTGTTTTATGTTTCTTTAATATTTATGCGACTTTACAGCATCAATATTATAATAACCAGATTTATTAGAATTTCTTATTTGTGTGTGAATAATTTAGTATGTATTTTATTATTTATATAGGTATGGATTTTATATCATCTAATGAATTTTTAACACATATATATATCCATATACAAAGTGTTTCATAAGTTTGTGCTAACGCACGTGAGTGGATAAAACGCAAAAAACTCAACACAAAGGTCCTTTACCATTTTGCAATTTTCGCAATAATTTATTGAAATATTAATTAAAAATGTGAATAAACGCGCGTTTCACGAAGCTAGATTGTAAGATATGCGCGTAGGTGTGTCAGCGGCGAGTCGCATAGTCATGAAGAAACAAGAGTCGAGGTACGCGCGATCAAAATTTACGAGATACTCTGTATATATATTTAAGTCTGTGCATAGTGATGTATCGGTTGATGAATCGACTTTAATATGTTTTCTTAATTTAAATATGTGACATATCAAATATAGATTGTAAATATTTTAAACTTTAAACATCAATTTCTTTTATTATTAAACAAGTATTTACAAGTGGATTATTATATGTATATTAAACTATTATGTGTTGTATAATGTAAAAAAAATTATTGTAAAATTATATAAGTCAATTTCTTTACAAAATGTATCGTATATGTATTGTATATTTTTAACATCGTAAATATTCAAATGCTACGTAAGAAAATTAATATAAGAAAAATAATTGTGTCATATACTGTGTTCTATAATTTCCTAAAACATATTAAAAATTAATTACACAATTGATCATCAATTATCACGTAAATACTAATGTATTATTATTAAAGAAAAATAACTTGAAATATTCAAAATTTATGTAATTGTATTAAATGTAAAGAAAAAATATATAACACAAATATGTAACATAAGCGCTTTTTAAAGTTAAATTTCTGAATTTTGGATCAAAAATAATTAAATATATATATATATATATATATATACATATATAATAAGATTCTTTTATAAAAAATTATCCATTACACCAATTATCTATTTTATAAAACAACGATTTCATATCATAATATTTCCTTTAAAAATAGATATATGTAGTGAGTTAAACAAAAAAAATTAATTATACATTAATATTTAATTATTTTTGTTACAAAATTCAAAAATTTAACTTTAAAAAGTGCTTATATTACATATTTGTGTTATATATTTCATATATATACCTTAAATTCAGGATAAAAATCCAAGAATGGGAAGATATTCGACATAATTTCAAATGCTTTCAACATAGGATACCATGCTATATAATCTGTTTCTTGTGCCAAATAAGAAACGAGTTCCCAAAATATGGAGAATTCAAGTTTTTTCTCTATCGCAAAATGAAACGCATCATTGATGATTTGCGCTCGATTGAGAACATGTATATTACTATATTTTTCAGAATTTAAGTATTGTGCAATTTTTTCCCAGTTCATAATATCATAATTGACACGATAGTATCCTGTTATAAAATAAATTACTTTTGTCGATTATTAAATACTTTGAAATGATATATTGATTAAACATATTTCGAGATGTTAAACATATTTCCATATTAAATATATTATTATTATTATTAGAGAAGTTTGTATCTCCCGTTTCTATTATTTAACATGAAGGCTGTATCAGCAATTCTACAAATTACAGCAAACAATAAAAATTTCAAATATGTCATTAAAATTTCAATATTCTTGCAATATCTTTTATTATATCCTATATCATATATATGAGTTTTAATACATTTTATGACTATTTTTAATTAAAATTTATGTTATATATATATATATATATATATATATATATAACATAAATTTTAATTAAAAATAGTCATAAAATGTATTAAAACTCATATATATGATATAAGATATAATAAAAGATGCTTGCTGTATATATAAATATATATATATTTATATATATATATATATATATATATATATATGCAGGGTGGGGCATTTATCTTGAGACAAGATAATATCTCGATTGGAGTCGATTATTTTAAAAAAAGTTTTAGACAAAAATTGTAGGGCATTAAAGAGGCTATCGAAAGGTCCATATTACAACTTCCGGTCTAGACCGGAAGTGGCGTTTTTTAATCAGAATTTGTTTTTTTAAATGGAAACACCCATTTTTTGCCGCGAATTTCGATTGGAAATCGAAAAAAAAAATACTTTTTGTTCTTATTATTTTTTCGATTTAACCCATATTTTGGCCATAAAAAACAAAAAACACCAAAATCTTGAGATAATGGAGTACCTTATTGGAATCCCTTTTTTAATTTTAAGGTTGAAAAACTGTACAACTATTAACTACTTTTAGCACTACCCAGGAATAACGACGTGGACGTAGTAGTTTTTTATCCCCTTTGGGGTGCTTGTTTTAGGTGAGTCCCCTTGCCTCTCACAATTTGGTATGATTGTCTTATCTATTTGAAATTAATTTAATTTAATAAGTGCTCAAATTGGCGACCTTCGACTTCAATGCACTTATTGATCCGAACTTTCATAGATCGTACACAACTGCGGAGTACATCAGGTGACATTTTGGCACAAGCATTTCGGATTCGTTGCATCATATTTTCACGAGATGTTGGCACTTCTTTGTAAACTTCGCTCTTTATGTAACCCCATAAATAAAAGTCTGGAGATGTAAGGTCTGGAGATCTTGCTGGCCAATTTACTGGACCCCCTCTACCGATCCAGCGTCCATTGAATTCGCGATCCAAAACTTCACGAGCAGTTCGGGAGTAATGCGATGGACATCCATCGTGTTGAAACCACATTTGTTGTCTTACATTTAAGGGTACGTCCTCAAGTAAAAGCGGAAGTTGATTTTGTAAAAAATTACGATATGTTTCGCCGTTTAAATTGCCTTCAATGAAGTATGGACCTACTATCTTGTCACCAACTATTCCACACCAAACGTTCACAGACCATTGACGCTGAATGATGCTCAACTTCACGTAACCAATGTGGATTTTGAATACTCCAGTAGTGCATGTTATGTCTATTAACCGTGCCGTGGTTCGTAAAAGAGGACTCGTCTGAAAATAGGACTTTAGCAAAGAAATTAGGATCTTGTTGTATTTGTTGACATGCCCATTGACAAAAGATAACTCGGTTCTGAAAATCATTATCATGAAGTTCTTGGTGCAACGAAATGTGATAGGGATGATATTTATAACGTTTTAATATCCTACCTACACTACGTCGCGAAATTCCAGAATCGCGTGCAATTTGTCGAGTACTGACATGAAGGTCCACATTTAGTGCAGCTAATACAGCAATTTCATTGTCAGTTCCAGTAACTAGGTTTCGACGGGCTCTTTTTCTCTTAGACACACTTCCCTCTTGTAGAAATTGTGTAACAACCCGATAAAAAGATGCTCGAGATCGCACGTTATCCGGAAAACGTTCAGCATAAAGTGTAACGGCATCGTCAACATTTCTACCACATTCACCATAAATAAGAATCATTTCTATCTTCTCTTCTACAGAAACAGCCTCCATTTTAAAAAAAGTTTTGCACTGACAAAATTTGAAAAGATAATCTGATTTCAGAAAAAAAATTAGGATAAATGAAATGGGGTAAATATCCCTTATATTAAATTTAAAAACTCACGAAAAAAGAAAACGAAAATACAAAAAAATGTCAATTATGCCTTTTCAAAGTAATCCGTTAAATCTTTTTCTAGTTTATTAAGTTTAGATTAAAAATCACCACCCCATGAAAAAGTAGTCTGTACTTTACATGTGATATATGCTATCCAAAGTGTTTTGGCCTCCTGGACACAACCCCAACAAAGTACTCCGTTATCTCAAGATTTTTGTGTTTTTTTGTTTTTTATGGCTAAAATATGGATTCAATCGAAAAAATAATAAGAACAAAAAGTATTTTCTTTTCGATTTCCAATCGAAATCCGCGGCAAAAAATGGCTGTTTCCATTTAAAAAAACGAATTCTGATCAAAAAACGCCACTTCCGGTCTAGACCGGAAGTTGTAATATGGACCTTTCGATAGCCTCTTTAATGCCCTACAACTTTTGTCTAAAACTTTTTTCAAAATAATCGACTCCAATCGAGATATTATCTTGTCTCAAGATAAATGCCCCACCCTGTATATATACATATAATATATATGGTATATTATATACACATATACATGTGTGTACAATGCCTGTTACAAACTTCTACGGTATGTAAAAGTTTCAAAGAAGGTTAATTTTTAATAAGGAACTCATGTCCTGAAACGCACCGTTTGCGAGATACAGACTGGAACTGTTAGTATTAGGAAGATAAGTATTAGGAATAATTCTCATAATATCTTTATTTATTTACATTACATTACAAAAATGTTTAGCAATGTCAAAACAGATGGCTACATTAATTGCTCGTAATGACAACAAGAAATTCAAATGACGTCTAACATTTTGAAAAGAGTGTACCAGAACATGCTTCGCAGGTGCAATTCTTGCATCGAAGTTAATGATCGTCATTATGAGCAATTATTGTGGTCATTTGGTTTAACATTGCTAAACATTTTTGTAGTGTAATGTAAACAAAAAAAGTTATTATGAGAATTATTCTTAATACTGAACATACCAATAGTTCCAGTCATTATTCTTAATAGTGAATATACCAATATATAGTTCCAGTCTGCAGCTCGCAAACGATATGTTTTCGGAAATGAGTTTCTTATTAAAAGTTAATTTACTTAAACTCTCTGCATACCCTACAAGTTTATAACAGATATTCATTAATACCCTGAGTTTATATATATATGTATATATATATATATATATATATACATATATGTATATGTATATGTATATATATATATATATATATACATATATGTATATATGTATGTATAATAATTGATCAATTCTGAGAATTTGAATATGCAATTTAGTGCAAACATAAAATGGCTTCGACTACAAACATAATATATATATATATATATATATATATATATATATATATATATGTAATTATACAAACATATGTATTTATATATTGAAATATGTATACTTGAAATTATATACAATATAATTGTAAATTTATTATTATATAATATATAATATAAATTTAATATTCAATATGTAAATTTAGATGTAAATTTATGTTTCAATATTTACCAGCTTGTTGTAAATTGAAAATAATCCATTGATTTTTCTCAAGAGAGAATTCAGTTTTTGTAAAATAATGTAGCCAAATAAAGTTATTATGAGAATTATTAGTATTCTTATTACTGTCAGTTTCTGATATCCATGGTGTTACCGAAATATCCGTCCAAGTTATGGTAAAATTGGGATTCGACTCCGTAGTATAGCTAACAGGAATATAATATTCTTCCTCATCTAACTTGTTGCGAAATTCTACCGATACGCTTACAACATTAGTAGAATAATTTCGCGTCACCTTCAATACGGAAGGATATTTCTGCATAATCCACGAATTTATCGCATCTTTTATTTTAAAATCATACATATAATTCAATTCAAACATCTCGGATCTCATTGCGTTCCATAAATGATCGGCAGTTTTTGCTTCAGGCTTACTAAGTCTATAAGATTTAAAATTATAATAATTTTAAAACTATATTAAAAATGATAAATAAATAATAAGAAAAAAGGTCATAATTTACACACACACACACACACATGTGTGTGTGTATGTAAATTATGATCTTTTTTCTTATTATTTATTTCTCATTATATAAATTAATAAAATAAATTTAATAATATATTTCCAGCTTTTTAATATTTAAAAGACATAGATATTTAAAAACTATATATATATATATATATATATATATATATATATCCATTAGTAATTATGCTAGCATTTGTCGTGACTGAATACATAATAATTTTAATTTTTATATTACAAAAAGTGTTTATATTCTATGTTTGTAAAACTAGATTCTCAAAATCATTTCATTTGAATTATTTGTTATTTAGAAAATATGAATATCTATTATATATTTATTAAGAAAAAAGTTGAAATTCAATCTTAACAAAAATTCATAAATACTCGTATAAAATAGCAGTATAAATTTAAGCTTTTAAATATCTATGTCTTTTAAATATTAAAAAACTGGAAATATATTATTAAATTTATTTTATATTTTGATTTTTTTTCATTATCATCTATGATGTATATTATTACATTAAATTACATTATACTTGCTGATTATTAAAATATTTCGCCAATCCCTTTGAAAATATACAAAGTGGTAATATTCGTTTTAACATGCGCCATATAATAGATCCTATATAATGTTTAAAAGAAAAATAATTTATTATATTTAAAATCTTTTTAATAAAATATGTAATAAAGGATTGTCAATATATTTGTAACTAATAAAACTAAATAAATCACATACAAAATTTGTGCAATTAAATCAAAGTAAGCAGCTATGAAAAATTGTTAAATACATTTTAACGAAAAAATTTGTAATAATGAATAAATAATGAATGATTAAAAATTTATTAAAAATAATAAGTTATACATTTATAAGGAATCAGTTAATTTTATATTTGATTATAATTTTTTGAAATCTTAGACAAACATGTATAGTTATAATTTTAAAAAAATTACATATTATAAAATTATTCAAAAATTATATAAAAATTTAATTTTAAAGTTACATATAATTACGTTATTGCAAATACTATAAAAAAATATATTAAATTTTACAAATGAAGGGCATGGTTCTTCCTATGGAAATTGAATTTCGAAGAAATTTGAATTCTGATTGAATTTGCTGAATTTTGGAAATAAATAGTTTACGTGAAAAAACAATAAAAATTTAAAAAATGTCAAAATAAATGTCATAAGATTAATAAAGTCGTTTCAGTACAAGTATTCAAAATTCAAATATCGAAATATCGAATAAGACGTTATTTCAATATTATTAAGGAAAAGTAAATAATATATCAAATAAAGTAAATTATATATTAAAATGTGACACACAGTTGATCATTTTTATTAAGACATTTTACTAATATATTTACATGGAAAAAATGTGCGTGTAGCAGCATCGATGCTATCGTCATAACATGCTATTTGATATTTGATAAAATTAGTCAAAAGTATTTTATTATACAGGTTTTCCCTAAGTCTCTCCCTTCAGATGGAGAAGGATACAACTACCCTAATTGCTTTAAAAGACCAGCCTCTCAAAATAATTAAACACCTGTTTCATGATTTTTCGTAATTTTTGAACCGTTTCTGAAATATAGTAGATAGGAAATTTATGGACACCAATATATACAATTATGTACATATTTTCCACGTAAATATCATATCTATATATTAATAAAAGTAATCAACTGTGTGTGTTTCTACTCAATAATATATTATTTATATTCTTTCAGTAGTAATGAAGTAACGCCTTATTTTGACATTTGAACGCTTGTAGCGACGAAATGGCTCTATCAACCGACAACCGTTAATGTGACTTTTGATTGGCCACAAACTATTTATTTCCAGAGTTTGTGCAAATTTCACGAAACTTCAAAATCATTTTCCATATGAATCGTACAGAGTCTTTTGTTTATAAATGACTTTTCTCATTTACTATGAAATTAACATTCGAAAATTTATAATTATTTAATTGTTTAATTATGCAATGTTATACGCATACCTTTAATTTGAGAAAGAGAAGACTGTAAATAATTTTCAGGATAACTATTATATTTTATAGTAGAATTTATAATAACATATGTATTTAGATAGAATAATTCATGTTGAATTTGAACTACAAACAGATCCATCATTCGGGAATTTGGCAGAGCCTAAAATCAATTCGATATAATCATAATTTATCATAAATAATCAAAAAGAAAAAGTTTTTGGTGCATATCAAAATTAGCTTATTATATGCTATTGTTAAGAATAAAATTTGTATGTGTGTTTGTGTGTAAATTTTTCTGCGATAATTATAATACAAAAACATATATATACTTAGTACTTATTTAATTTCTTTCATTGGATTTTTGAAATTTTAGAGACTTGGGTTTTTATCATTTCTAATAATTAAAAAATAAAACAGAATATTTGCACAAATATTTAACAATTAATTGTATTGCTAAACTGTTAATCATTTGACTGCGTATTCAAATAGTAAAAGAATTAGTAATAAAATAACCTTGTCGATAATGTATTCTGAATAAAACATATTAAATCCTTTGTTTAACCATGTATGAGGCCATAAGTTAGTTGGTCTGAACAGATTTCTAATGTATTTTCGTCTAATCCCACGTGCAATTAAGCGCGCAATTCTCGTTTTGTATGCGACAGGATCTAATTCTTCATTATAAGTGATATCTGCTTCTCTAAAAATAATTATACTAATATGTACGAAAAATTGTGAATATTAATATAATTTCTTATGTAAATAGATTACAATATGATATGTAATTAAAATATAGTTTTAAAATATATCTATATTTCTCACTATATATATTACCGATAAAAAATAAAACCAAAAGACTGTTCGATTTCATTTTGTAAATCCGGAATTACGACATGATCGATTTTGTTCTCAAATGAAACAGAAGTTAGCGACGCAAGTTCTCTCCTCCAAATATTCCATCTATGCATGTATACATTGGTGGAAGAAATAACAGTTTTCGCAAATTCTAAATGCGGTTCCGATTGTGGTCTGTACGATATGGACGAACGAATTGTTTCATTATCCGAGAGGATGATGTGATGAAAACGGGATACCAGAAATGCTACTCTATCTATGGAGATTAAAGGAGTAGCGTTAAAAAATGTCCATATCAAATTATCGTCCGTCAATTTAATATCTCGTATCGGCATATTTGACCAAACTTCGTATTTTGGATAATGTATTATGGAAATAATAAAAGTAATTCTTAATTTTGGCTTGTCCCAATATGGAAACATTTGCTGTTTTTTCGTTTGATACTTGTTTCTTCGCTGGACTCCTGTTGCGATTAACCACCTACCGTATTTTAATGATATATTTTAGATAATGACTAATTTTAGGTAATTGTAAGAGTAGAATGCACAAATGTACAATTTGTTTTTGATATTTCATATATTCTTCTACTTACTCTATTTCTTCATTTTCGTTTATGTATGGAGTTCCGAAAGATTCCCTTACGATATTAATTGAGATTATGTACTCTATATACAAATCGTATATTCCATGAAACGAGACATCACCGAAATCGAGCACGACAATATTGTTTTTAATAATATTTGTGTGATTTGCTTCATAAACCGTATCATTATTTTGATTTAATGTAAGATTTGAGAACACTATAAATGTTGCATCCGGTACATAAAATCTTATGTATCGTTTTGCATAAGAAATATTTAAAGTGATTATGCATACGCTATGAAGATAATCAGTGCCTAACATTATCTTTATATTATAATGTATTGGAAACATATAATCTGATATATTGCTTGATTTGTTGTTTAATACACTGGGCATTGCGATTTTCGATTCTTCATCGGTTTCTATTCCTTTGATTTTTGATTCTTCATTAGCGATAGGAGTCGCTATTGCTATTATGGTTATGTATATTATACTACTATTTAATAATAGTTTTAAGAATGTCATGTTAAATTTCGTCCGAATATCTATAAAAAACGTTCTTGCTTTAAAAACAAGGTTTGCTTACAAAGAGTATGCGATTCAATCAACTTTTGTGTTAAAAAAAAGTTAAAGAGAATTTACTAACGTTTCATAAGAAGATACGGTTAATTAAAAAAAAATTAAAATAATATGGTTTAATAAATAAAGAAAAATTAATAGAAAAGATAAATGTAAAACTTATTGAAACGACATATAAAATATTTTTCTCGGATTTGAATATTAGGAGACATAAGGAATATATTTATATAATTCCAGTAGGATAAGCACAATAAACGTAACTTTTACTTATCTCAATTTAGCTATGTTTAAGATTTTTTCTAGTGCAATTACATAATTCAGTATATATATATATATATATATATATATATATATATATATATATATAATGTAAGCATTACAATGTATGAGAAATGAAGGTATATTCTGAACAACGCGATTTTATATCTGATGTAGACTGCATGTTTACTAACATGTTATTCTCAAGATTGATCTGTTCATGAAGTAAGAAATATATTAACAACATATAAACACAGAACGGAAATCAAATATTATCAAATATTTGAAATTTTGATAATAGAGCGGCTTGTATCAAACATTCGAACAAAATTCTGAAAACAATTATGTTAATATTTTTATAACACATCTTTTTGGATAAAATGTTACTTATTCATTATTAGTTATTCATTCGTTCATTACACATTTACATTAACATATCCTACTGGACCTAGATATTCATTATAAAAAATATTTTAAAAACAAAACAGAGAAAATATTATACGTTTTTAAGATGAATAATTTTATAGTTTAGATAATAAGATAGTATTTTATAGCTGAGAATTTTATAGCAATAATATAAAATTGATTACACAATAATTTTATAATGTCAAAAAGAAATTTAGCTCATAAATTTTACATTTTCTATATGTCAAAATGGTTGAAACATGCTATTACAGTACAAACGTATATGTCTTCATTTCTATTAACTGTAATGTATGTAAAAGATAAAAATAATATTTACAATAAAATGAAATCGATTTGAAAATTAAGAAAAATGTCTTTTATAAAATAAAAGCGTTACCTGTTACTTCACACAATTTTGTATGCACATTTAAAGAAGGAAAGATAAATATTTTATTATATATTTAATGCTCCAATTAGGTCAATCAGTCAAATTTAATACCAGATTTAACAGGAAAAGCATTCGATCGCGAACTTATCTCTAGAAGAGACTGCCATAAACTGATGGCTTTGTTGGCTTACCTAAGAGTATTTAGAAGGTTATACGTAGAGTCGTCTTACCTGCGTGTACGAAGTGCGCAATGTACACGGACATCAAAATATAAGAGGCGGCAAATTTTGATTAACAATGTAATTCATTAGAAAGAAAAATTTTTCTCTCTCTCACCCTCTATCCCTCCCACACACACACACACACACACAAACACACACACACACACACACACACACACATGTATATGTATAGGAATACGTATATATTTTTTTCTACATTATTATAGACGTTGCCTTTTCGAAGGTTGAAAAACGATTTGAACTTAAAGAATTTTTATAACTGGTTTGGATTTTTAAATAATATAAAAGAATTTAATAAGGAAAATAAAGATTTTAGATTAAAAACTTGATAGACCTACAAATAATTATATTAAAAATTATGTTAAAATGAATTAATTACAATATTTCGCAATTATGCTGATTGTTACTTTTGTCCTGGGGGCCGGGGATGAAAGTAACATAATCTGGAGATGAAAGTAACAGTTCTTATTTTCGGAAAAATAAAATAAATACGCCTTTTTTCAATTTAAAACAAAAATTTTATTATAATCTTTCATTAAGCAAGATAACTTTGATTATAAATTTGTATTATATTATATTCAAATAAAAAATAAAATAAATATTTATTTTTATCATCTTTAAAAAACCAAAAGAAATAATTTCGTTAAGCAAAATAATTATAAGTAATATCATAAAATAATTATACTTAATATCACATCAATTTTGTACTTTTTCAAGTTTAAATAATAGTTTAATTCTAAATAAGTGTAAAAATTGTATGATAATCTACTTATACAAAAGAGATTGATAAATATTCCGAATCACAATTATGGCATGTGTGTGTGTGTGTGTGTGTGGTGTGTGTGTGCGTAATAAGAATTCTTTTTGATACAGTTATTATGGAACCAGCCCTTATACTTTAAACATTGAAATACTTTGTTACTTTCGTCCACAGAGTGACTCGTGATATCGTGTTACTTTTGTCCCAAACACATTTTTAGAATAAAAGCATTATAATCTAAATACGATGCCAGACTTAAAATTAGCCAAATCAACTATAAAACTTATGAATACATTTTAGAAGGATACACTGGCAAATAATTACGTCAATATATACTTTAATTAGGCATGGATACAAAAAAATTAACAAGAAATACTTAGGTGAATAATGTAAATACACTAATTTCACTCCTGCATGTGCAACCGGCGCGACCGTTCTACAACAATTAGCTGAAAAGAAATAGGATCGGGGCCTACACGTTTGACTATATATAGTACAAATTATTCAATATATAATTGTGTAGTTTAATAAGATACTTGTTACTTTCATGACGCTGTTATTTTTGTTCCCGGTCTCCCCTATACTCCTTTAGTTTTTGTATTCCGTTTTCGTATAAAGTTTTATTTGAAAGACTTTTAAAGACAATTTTTCTAAAAAACCATTCGCGTGAGAAAATTCATTAAAGAATTATAATCGCGCTTATACTTGCATGTATTGATCGATTTTCTTTAATTAATATCTCAAAATTTTACGTAGTAATTTTCAAAATGGTACATGATTTTTTAGTTAGTTTATCGAGATCTACTTATGTTTATTTTATTTGGCGGGAAATTGCATTGACATTCTGTATATACTATATAGTTTATTTTTAATAAAATGTATATAAGCATATAATTTAATTCGAATAATTAAATTCGAATATACAATCTCATTAATACCAATTATACGTGTGTACGATAATTATTATACAAGATACAAAAGAAAATGCGTAATATCTTTGAAGAAATTTGATAATACAAATTACACAAGAAGATAAGAAGATAAGATAATCTTCAAATAGAGAAGAGAAATATATATATATATATATATATATATATATATTAAAAAAATACATATAAAAAAAATTACAATTACAGCAAACCCAGCCGCTTTATGATTTTTAGTGTTATACATTGTACAGCAAATATACGCTAAAGAGCTTGATTGCATTTTCCAATTTAATAATGCACAATACTGAACCGTGTAACTGTCTATGTTTGAAAATTGTGAAAATTCCAGAAGAATTTTCAATCTTGATATTCACCTGTTTTCAATCGCAATGTCTTAAATTAAAGCAAATTATTCTCGCTTTATTTTCTTAAATATATAATAATTATAAGAATTACATAAAAAAATATATTACAGTAATTTAAATATATGATAAAATAATATCAAAGTATAAAGTAAGGAAAGAATGCGATATATTAAGAATCTCAAGATTTTAAAATGAATGTAAAATTTAATTTTTGTTTAACTTATTGATATTTCCATTATCTTTATAATTAAAATAAATAAATAAGAGAATCAGATTTTATATCAGCTGATTCAATTTTTATTGAGACTTTTAAAAATGCGTTTAAAAATCCTATTTTAAACGCATACACAATGTATACTCCTTCTAACTCGCTTCTCCCTCTTTCTCGCGATCCGATATAAAATCTTTTTCATGGCCAGATATAAATTTTAAACGACATCAATCTGATTCGATCATCGTAGGCGTCCAGTGCGGGATTAACAGATAAAACGTTGCATCATTTTGACGATTAGGATTATCCGCGAAGATTTGACTTCGTGAACTCAAATACTGATAGCAGCGTATATCGTCGATATTAGTGCAAATGGGAAATTGATACTAGAGTATGATTCGGTCGAGTAATCTCGAGAGTACGTGAGATTTCCGCATTGCGGAAAATGTAACTACAATATAAGCGCAATACAAGTGTAAACTATTTTTTTTCAAGGAAGAGATATTTTTGGTACCATTTTTAGATCGATCACTATTGACATTTCTTCAATCACATGTTTATATACGTGATAGCTTTACAAGTTTACATATTTTTTCAAATTCGAAATTTTAATTCTTTAATATTGTTTCCATTTTGATCAGCATATTTTTATGCATGTTTTACAAGTTAAATAAGTTCGACTTAAATATATTTAAGAAAAGATTTGCAAAGATTATAATATGATTAATATTATTAGTGCGCAATATAAATAAATAACTTAACGTGTTCAATGTGATAATTTGCATGTGTTTTTGTATTATCGCAAAACTTAGTCCAAATATAATACACAATAATACATTGTTACGGATAACGATTCGCATAAGAACATATTCGTGATTATTAATTTATTACAATACGGAAACTTGTAAAAAAGGGAAAGCGAAAGCAAGGAAAAGAAACAGAAATTAAAATTTTTTACTTTTTTATATTTCAATGATATTTCAAAATTTTATATTCTTTAATATATATTCTGAGATAAAAGAGAATGCGAGAATTTAAATATTTTTATCTGATCTTACTATGTAATAAAGCTGCTAATAAAGCAATATGGTTTCTTGCAAAATGATATAGGATTTTTTAGTTTAGTTTAGTGAGACTACTCATGGTTTTACTTTATTGCAAGATACCAGAAATACTTTATATATTCATGTAACTGTGTAAAATAAACACACGTAAGTATATAATCAACATCTATGTATTAAATTTGTAATACAGAAAAGTAATACAATATAACATGTAATATAATATAATATTAAAAATATTCATAATATGAATTATATTGTAATATAATATAATATTTTTATAAAATATTATATAATACAATATTTTTATACAATATTTTTAATATTATATTGTATAATTAATATTATATTGGTTAAATACAATTAATATTTAATTAAATAATTAAACTAAATTATTATCTTTTATATGACATTAGTGAATAATTAAGTATATACATTTATAAATATTATCACAATCATTTATGTTGTATTTATAATGCCTAAACACTCAATATCTTAGATAATCTAGTTATTCAATTATGTGAATAAAGACCGTGAATATGTGAATAAAGACATTTATTAAATAAATTATTATCTTTTATATAACATTAGTGAATAATTAAGTATATACATTTATAAATATTATCACAATCATTTATGTGTATTTATAATGCCTAAACACTCAGTATCTTAGAAATCTAGTTATTCAATTATGTGAATAAAGACCGAAAATATTTTATCTGTTTCTCGATCTCCGACAAGCGTGTTTCTAGCTTGTATTCACATTAGGAATGATTGAATTTTCCAGTTTCCTTTTTTACAAATTTCTTTATCTGAAATGGATTATTTTAATAATTGTTATCAATAAATGATTTCGGATTTAATAATTGCACTGTCACAAAAAACACAGAGTATCATTATGAACAGAATTATAGAAAAATATTATATAAAATAAAATTTGATTTATTTAAAATTTACCTCGCCCAACTGTCCTTAGCATACACATTGTTAATTATAACAATTAATGTTACAATATCACTGACCCTCCTATAAAGAATATTAATACAATATCATAATTAATTTGTACAATAAATCTTCACATCTATGTGTAGCATATCTTGATTAAATAATATCGTCACCTGTGTCTTATTGTTTCATAATTACTTAATAAACTTGTAAGCATGTACTTAGTATTTCTCTCAAGAACAGAAAGGAAAATGTTAGCAGTTAAGCATAAGTTCGTTCTATCGATTCAAATGGAAGATAAGATACATTATACGAAGGTTTAAATAAAATTTCTGATATTTTATTTCTAAATAATTGATTATAATTTCAAAATTTTTACTGTAAGCCAGACATTCTAACATTGTATCATTTGCTTCCATGCAATTAGTAAAAACTTTATTCCATGTATAATGATCTGCCGTTTTCAAACCATTACAATATGTCCACCTCTTCCAGCCAGGCAAAAGTCTACAGAAGATAGTCCAAAAAAGAAGTAAAAATCTTGTAACGAAATTGTGTTAATAGTTTCTTTAGTGTTTCATAAATAATTTTTTGATATAAGTGATAACTAATTTCCCAATCATATGGAGAATATAAAAATGTTCTTATAAAAAGAATCGAATATTT